CATGGTCTGTATTGTCCGTTGTCAATGACGATGAGTTCCCTCTAGATGCACCGCCAATCGCATCTACTTTTTTGCCGTGAAAAGTCCAGACCGTGTAATCCTTGACGAAACCAAACCTGATCAAGTGAGATTGCACCTCATTGTCTGTGTGGGCTCTCTTGTTCATACAGTGAGAACACGGACATATGGTTGTCCTCTGATTCAGACTCTCACGGTGAGCTTTCACAGCCGCAACAAACTTCCTCACATGAACCAGGTACTGCGGTTCCATTCTCTTCGTCCGGTACATCCATTCGGACCTATTGTCCATACTTGCAAACCTTATTCCACAAGCAGCAACAAAAAGCATTATTACAAAGAAATAGTCGCAGAGAAGAGAATAGATCTAGAGCTAAAGAAATAGCAGTTTTCTCTCTCCTCCATGAAAAGATGGATCTAAATCTAGATCTAGTTCTAGAGCCCCAAATGACAAAGAAGAGCGAGAAATGAGGTTTGGAGAGCGTGTGTATCTACCTTTTGCGGTGTCCTCCTTCAACAAAACAAGAGCAAAATTTCTCCCCCTAGATTTTGCACAATTTTTAGGGTTTTGAAGCTCAAAACCCTAAAAATTAGAAGAGGAGCCGCAAGGAAGAAGAAAGGGGGCGGCGACTGGGTGCATTTATAGCCACAGCAATAACAGAGGCGGGCACTATAAGGAAAACCGTCTCCGTTAATCACATATTAACGAAGACGGTTGTTTTACAACGGCCGTCTCGGTTAATGGATTAACGAAGGCGGTTGTTGTAAGCCAACTGCCTCGGTTAATTGCTGATTAACCGAGGTGGCCGCTTTAAGGCGACCGCCTCCGTTAAACCTTAACTGAGGTGGCCGCTCAGGGGGCTGGCCTGGCGATGGATAAGCGAGGCGGGAAAAAATTGGTGCCCGCCTCCATTCAAAAAACGTCATCGCCACGCAAATGAAATCCTGTAGTAGAGGTAGTTTTAGAACCGCATAAAAATGTTCTTCTGTACATGGTCTGTTGAGTCATGTTTTTATTTATGTGCTTTAGTTTTAGTTTCAGGTTCAAATGTTTTTCGTAATTGGTAGTTATTTTTTGTTTCATTTTTCAGTCTTTTTTTTAGTTTCAGATTTCAGTCACCCTTTTGGGCTCGAATGTCTTCCTTAATCCTGTATATTAATTGCCTCACCTACAATGTATAAGTTGTTAAAAAAGTATAGCTATTGCACACATAAGTTGCCACAAGAATTTGCCTCCCGGTTTTAGTTTTCAGTCAAGTTTTTTTTTCAGTTTTTTAGTTTTAGTTTTCTGTCATGTTTGTTTAGTGTTTTTAGTTTTAGTTCTTAGTCACCCTTTTAGTTTGAATGCATTCATAAATCCTACCTATTAGTTATATAATAACTTATTTCTTTTTTCTCAATTATTTGTTTTATTTTATGGTTGTTAATTTCTTTTTTAGTCACTGGTAATTTCAGTTTTGGTTTTTTCACTAGTTTGTACTATTGAGCCCCTTGTGATGAGATCTATGAAATAAGACTAGATGCATGTGTTTCAAAATAGTTTGGATGTACCTGGCAATTTATGTTATATATGTAATAACTATTTATGTATTAAGCGTGTAGCAACCTATATATTAACCTTCTAACAAATTATATATACTAGCAAACGTGTAGCAACTTATGTATTAAGCGTGTAGCAACTCATGTATTAAGCGTATAGCAACTTATTTGCCGATTTCAATTTTCATTATTTGTTGTCATTATCAATTCTAGTTTATTGTACTTTTAGTTTAGTTTTCTTTGGAATTTTTTTCATCGTGTCTACTTTAGTTTTCATAGTCTATTCGTCAATTCAATTCTTTTTGTCAATTTCAGTTTTTTCTTGGTAATTTTACTTTCAGTGTTATTTGTATTATTTTTTTCATTTTGTCTTCTTTCGCTTTTAGTTTCTATTTATCAATTTTAGTTTTTTATTGCTTATCAATTTTAGTCTTTTTTCATTTTGTCTACTTTAGTTTTTATTTTCTACTTTTCAATTTCAGTTCTGTTTTTGTTTGTCAATTTTGGTTCTATTTTTTTTTAATTTCAGTTTCATTTTGCAGCAAGTCATGTGTGCTAGATTTTGTAATAACTGTCTACTAGTTGGCAGTCAGTCATGTTTTCTTGCTTTTTTTTAATATGTTGTTTATAACTTGCCCCCTTAGTTGATAGCATATGCAATGCTTGTTTTAATAATTTACTCCTCAGGTTTCGAGCGGAAAAGATGAGCAGATTTGAGCAAGTTGTATAATAACTTGTCCCCCGAGTTGGTAGCTTATGCAATGCTTACTTTAATAATTTGTCTTAAAAGTTGTACGAGTATAATATTACGTGGTAGTAACTCTTTTGATATTTTTTGCTCCCTCAAACTTGTGCATACTATATAACGAGTTTAGTATATTTTTTTGAGTAGAAGCAACTTAGTATTACATGATAGTAACTCATTTTTATGTTTTTACACCGAGCTTGTGACAACTTGTATATTTTTTAGTAGCAACTTTAATATTACACATATTACACATAAATTGCTATTGAAATAAAATTCTTCGAAACACATGTAAGTGAGGTCTAGTTTTGTTCGCCTCGTCACGTAGAACACACCGATGTAGACGGAATTGAAAACGGATAAATCATTTAAAAGTTATAGCAATTAAAAAATATTTTGATTTTTTTTGCTTACGTCAGCATGCATCATTAATGCCGGGCACATGCAGCAGCGGATGGACGGGAGCGGGATCGTATCATTGTACGGGAGCGGGTGGACCTCAGTTATAGCCCGCAGATAAATCTCTTACCTCAGCTTGCTTAAGTCTGGTCCGAATCCGATCAAGCAATGTCGGGGGCACGGAGGGGTGGCGCGCTGCTTGTCGCGCACCGAGGGGACGCGCGCTCCCCCCGTGGCGCGACGGGTCACGCTATAACGCGGTCCTTGTGGATTTGTGGTGGCTTGAATTGATTGTGCGTGTATCCACTAAACAAATGTGTTACGCTCCTTCCTTTTCAAAGAAGTAAAGATCATGGACAATCGAGTTGTGAGCTCTTCAACTGCGTACATGGGTAGGCAACGAATCACATTGGTAAAAAAACGACTCAAATGCAACTATGCAATAGTTCATAGATGTTCTACAACAAAACCACGGCGCTCACTGCTACCTCGGTCCGGCGGTGGTTGGCGTGGCGGTTCAGCAGCCTGGCCTTGCTCCAGGCATGGTGGCTTGGTTTGGTTGCTAGCATGGATTGTGGCGCCTACCTTTGCTAGGCAGCGGCTAGTGCAACGGGGGACAGTGCTGTCAGTTTGACGGCGCTGGCACTAATGACGACATGTCTGCAATCTACAAGGCCAGTACAATGCCTACATGGTGATGGCAGCGGCTTAACTCTGCTTAGCAGCGGCTAGTGTGCAGCAGGACAGCATCAGTTTGATGGTGCTAACACCAACGGTGACATGTCTGCAATCTACAGGACCAATGCACCGCCTACGTGGTGAGGGCATCGACCATGAGTCCATGACTAATCTTAGAGTTTGGTGCAACTTTCGGTCACGGCATTTTTAGCGCAGACATGGTTCAAGCACCATGACACCAACGGTGAGTCGGTGACATGTCTGCAATCTACAAGACCAATGCGCCGCCTACGTGGTGAGGGGGCATCGACCATGAGTCCATGACTAATCTTGGAGTTTGGCGCAACTTTCGGTCGTGGCATTTTTAGTGCGGACATGTTTCAAGCACCATGAAACATACCATTTTTTTAGACGAAGAATTATATTAGATTATAGCCGAGTACATCACTACATTACAAGCACTCTAGAATACACTATGTGTATCCAGAAACTGATTTTTATCTATATTGTACCCATAATTTGTATAGCTCCAAATCTCAAATTTAAACCTGAATGACGCTTCGTATAGATGACTGCATAGAAAAAAAAAACTCGGCAAAAGGCCTATGAACTGATGCCCGATGAATAACCGCCAACATTCCTGTAGGCAGAGGACACAGTTTAGAAATTTCTTCTTTCTCGTGTCTTCCTGCTTCTTTCTGCCACCCAAGAAAATGAGGTAGACTGATCTAGAACTTATTCTCCATAGTACTTCATCATGGTTAGATATAATCACAACAAAACAGAGAAAAGGTAAGAGAAAATTATTCCACGATGGCAACATCATCTCCGTCTTGAGGTCGCGGTTCAGAAAATGTTCATGTTCATGTTCATGTTCATGTCCGGTGCATAATTTACAGTTCTGCACAGAAGATTTAACCCAGCATCTTATATCCAGTAAATGAAAGAAACAAAATATTTTCGATCTCGTTACCACACCAGATAAGTGTTCAGCTACCGAATCTCCGGCTTAAAGTTTTTCACTGCTCTGGGCTGTGCCAATTGATACAACTGTACACGGTACACCCAGCACTTTGCCATACTTTCACAGAAAAGTCACTTAAGAAACACATTACCTTTCCTTAAGCGGATGAATCGAATCAATCGAACGACAAAAAAGTTTGTGCTCGTTAGCTGTTTAGTGTTATGTGACCACAGTTAGTACAAAGTGAAAAAGAATATTAGACGGTCCTCTCGATCACGGCGAACGTGGAGACGGTGAGATCCTTTACAACGGAGGGACACTATACATGGAAAAAAGGGCCGGAACCCACCAAAATGAAAGGAAAGGGGAAAAAAACTTAGGTTAACTATGTCATTGCATTTAGCTCGAAAGGGTCTGTATCTCTCATTCTCTTGAAGTATAGGAAACTACTTCCAGCACATGTTAATCTTTCGGTATGGTACATCCGTACATGTATATGTTAATCTACCCATGTAACTACAAATTACACTCTTACATCTCAGAGGAAGTCCTGCAGGAGAATCAAATGATGCAAGTTTACAAGGGATGAATGCAAGAAACAATACAATACTGAGGGGGCGGGGGTACCAGTTTAACAGTCGGCTTCGAAGCACCCTTTTAAAGGGTTGAAGGGCTCTGTTCCTTAATGACTTCTTCAATTGATGATCCTTTTTCATGTACAAATTTGACAGACTCTGAGAGCCTATTCAGAAGATTGAACAATGCAATGACCTCATTTCGCTGAAGCTGCAACTGATCAATCATCAAGAAGGAAATATCGTTAAACAAATATCCACTGCAAACATACAAAACGAATTCAAAAGGTACACTAACGGTTTTAGGATAAAGTCATAATTTCATCAAATCAAGAAGAATTCACAGTGATTCAGTTGGCTTAGTAGCAATTTAGCATAGAACTCATGCATTCCTTCTTTTTTTTAATATGATCTATGGTTCTAGGGAAATGTAAGCAACCAAGATGAACTAAGTGCTAGAAACTTAACATGAGGATGATACTTCAAAACAAACAGTTATTCGAGCAAATACCAACAAAACAGACAGCATATATCTCTCGTACCATAATGTGGCAGGAGTGGTAATGAGTATTTGAGAAATGGACTACATACTGGCTGATTCAAATGGCTGTCTCCATTGACGGAGAAAAGAATTTTCAGTGCAGTTCCAAGACCTAGAACTTGGAGCTTTCCCCACAGCCGGCACTTCTCGCATCCAATGCAGTCCATAATTGCACTAATGAAGAAAATGTTGCAGGGGTAAGGATCAAGTGGTGCATATGCATGTATGAACTCAAAACACAGGAAATACGTCACAAACCTAATGTTTCTAAATTGCTTCTGAATCTCTTGCTTTAGCTCAGGACCATTTTCACCTTGCCAGAGTTTGGCTTCATCAAAAGGCAATGGACATGCAGATCTTAACTTGCAAAGCAATTGCTTCACAAGAGATCGTGTTTTCAAGTCGTCTTCAGGATTACCAGTATTGTAATCAGCTTGCTCAAGATAATCTGCTGCCTGAAAGATTCCAAATCATATCATTATCCACTACAAATTTTCAACAAAAAAGAAACCTAACAGTTTGATCTTCAACAGTAGCGTGCAAACGAAATGAATAAGTATCAAGCAAGGAAGAAATGGGAACCTTTGTCACGGCCCGAAGAACAAACAGGATAGTGAAGTACAGATTCTGGACACGCTCTGGGTACTTCAGGACATGGTCATACAGCAAAGGAAGATTTTGTCCCCACTGTGGCCATTTACATCAGAAGTTGTCAAAACAAATATGAAACTGGGCCCAATAAACAATAAACAAAGGTGTACAATTTGGGCACATACTGAGTTAGTAGATTCATCAAGAAGATAATCGTAAGCAATATGCACTGAAATTGAGGAGTGCAACCCTGAAATAAGCTTGTACAATGCCTTCTTCTCATGGCACAGTTCTTTAGAAGGATCTAAAGAAAAAAGACAATTAAAAAAACTTGTGTCAAAATAACTTTACTGATGCAGGACTGAAGTGTGTGATAGGATTATCTATCATGTTATGTAGGACATCTAATGGAACAGGCATGCAACTAGAGCACTACAAGACACTAAAGAAGAACAGATGGACCAATATATGCCACACATATTAGATTACTTTAGAAGTAGATAAGATAGCTACAATTGACATATATCTCAAAAAGGGATTCAAATAATCAGTCCATCACTGAATCATTTAACATGCAGTGAACTCATGACATGGCACATATAAACACATTCAATGAATAAAAAAATATACATGATGTGTCATGAAATAAAATAGGCAGCTAAGATGCAAATTACTAGTCGCACTTGACATGGTCAATCAGACCAGTATAAGTAAAGTAGAACAAGCATGTGAAAGAGCACAAATGGATACATTTTGGACAGTTCTCTTTGTAAATAGCGTCCCACATCCTTCTTGCTGAATCACCAGTATAGCCAGTGTATCGTTCAGGATTCAGTTGAAGATTCACGTAAGTCATCTCATCTGAAATTGGTACAACAGTTTGATGGTCATCATGAATGATAATAAATAAGAAACAAAGAATGTGCACTAAACTAGATCAGGGCAAATATAAATTACTACTATCAGCCTCATCATCAGATGTCCACAGATTGTCAGTTTCAGCCCATCTTTTGAAAACCTTGCTGTCAAGGGTTTTATCAATGGCAGCCTGTGGTTTTCCTTCTTGGCATATCATACTATCTGGAGAAAGTCCACTGTAAGGTTTCTTGAATGGTTCAGGGAACTCATTCTCTGGGCACTCACAGACACTACAATATTAATCTCTAAGCTTGCACATTCCATCATCAGGCCAAAAAGGGCAGTCACACCACAATTTAACCTTACAAAAGACAACGAACAACACATGACTTAGAACAGATGAACCATTGCTTCAAAATTTGATTTTTTTAATGTGGGCATTTTGGTGGCATCACATATAGCTATCATATATAGTAGGCAGACTAACAAATACAAACTATAGTTCACTGTACAAAATCTGGAAGATAACTTAAACGGTTCACATTTTTGAAACAGTGTCATCAAATAGATTTTCATCTCCACTCCTCAATGAGTAATTCGCGTGAAATGGTGAAAGTAATCTGAGTACATATGAGATAAAAGTATAACTTAACAAAATAATCTCCACACCAATCAATTCCATTTTGCATTATACAAAAGCTTACACGTCAATAACAACAAAAATATAATACCATTATCTGCCACAAACTTCCTAAACTATAGGGAATATACAAATAGAAAGGCAAAAAAATAAAGAGATACTGGAACAATGCGTCCAATTATGATAGCTAACAAGTACCATTAGATGGTCCACAAGACCAGATTGTGCACTATTTGCATAATCAAATTCCCTCAATCTATATCTATCTAGACTGTAAAAGAGCAAAAAAAGTTGATAAATACCTACCACCTAAAAGGTCCCTACCCACCTTATATCCTATCCCTTGGATCTGTTTTGAATCCAACATATGATAATGATCCAGCAAACCTGACGCGTTGACCCAGATTGATACAGATTGATACGCCATTTACATGCATGTCTACTATGCCTTCACCCTGCAGTTATGTTTCACCCAGACATAGACATACCCGCCCGCCTATACCTACACGTCGCACGTCCTCCAATAATCAAGGTGCTTTCCTTATGTCTCCTGTCCCCTCCACTGAAATATTTAATCACAGGAGGTTGATTATTTTCTTATTACTCCACCGAAACCTTCAATCACAGGAGATTGATTATTTTTTATTTGGGTAATGATTGACAATTTTCTTTACTATTACTCACGCGTGATTATTCCTTCCAGAATCCCAAAAACACCACCGTGGATACCTGGTCGCCTCTCCGTTGTAGCTGCCACTATTCCACCAAGGTTCATGAAGGATCAGATAAACAGCGCAGTGTTTGGCATGATCTCCGTCGAGCAGGGCCTGCGCTTGGACATGCCATTAGGCTGGTGTTTGAGCGGTGGTCGGTTCTGCAGATGGTGTTATAGAACCAGTGGGACGGTGGCAAGTCCCGCACCAAGGCCGATCAGTTCGGCGAGTATATCCTCTCCCGGTTCTGTTGCTCCAAGGGTACGTACAGATCTTTCAGCACCCTCGGGCAAATAATTTACTCCTACTTGGGTGGGATCCGGTAGTAAAGTTGATATGGTTTAACTAATTTACTCCTACTTGGGTGAAATTCATAGGAGTTCAGATAAGACCATTATGTTACGATGCATGTAATTTCACATCCCTATATAGATGGCCAAAATAGAGGTAATCACTAAGGGGCTCATAAAGTTTTTCTTTTGCTTCATTGGTTAGCAGTTATAAGCTTTGGCGAAAATGCAGGTAATTAAAATGAAATATAAACATAGACACGTGTGTGTTGCACGTGCATTGCTACTAGTAAGGTAAGATAACCTTCAAATTCTTATCAAGCAAATACCACTTTGATTCCATATAGAATATCGTTGATTATTGTTCATTAGAATCATTACAAAATCAAAAAAGACAAGCATTGTATAATCAGAGTGCACAAAAAGTTTGATCCTAATGTTTGAAACAATCACCTTAGAATAGTAGAAAACTGATAAATCACACTCAACTACTCAAGTAAAAATAATAATCTGACAAAGAATCACAGTTGTCACAACAATTTCCATGTATAAAAGGGCGGGAGCACATTCAGCAAAAAAAAGGAAAAAGTAAATAATCCATAACTCTGTAACCATGCATCAAATTCTCCAATCAAGCGTGCATGACTCTAAATTCTAACAACTCTATCTCCCCATTAGAGCACCACGGCATATATCTTCACTGACGTGCCAACATCACAGTCCAGGACATTGATTGAAAAAAAAAGCAATCCACAAGTGCTCACCTTGAAGTACCTGAAGAACGGCAACTTAACGAGTTCCTGTAGGATCGGATGCAGAACCTCCTCATTGATGGTGATCCCGGTGTACTTCCTCGCAGCCTGAAACGGACCACACCGACACCTCAGAAGTCAAAACCGCACAACTAAATCAACCCCCCCTCCTAGGGTGAAAGTGGTGTGGATAATTCTCCGAACCGATCCGACCCCAATCCGACTTTTTAGGATATGGAGAATAACTTTTAATATCCATGCGGATACGGATAATCCGAATCCGATTGTGTGCAGACACGGGGTAGGATATGGAATAGGTAAAATCCAGCGGATATGGATTATCCGCAAATTATGCGGATTATCCGATGTTCAAAATAGGATCTCCGAAAGTTTCTCTTCCTAGACTAAAGAATTAAGGATTTAAAAGTTTTTTAGTTGAGAACTCTTATTTTGTGATGTTTTGTTTGATGTTCTAATTTTCAAATTAAGAAATTTGCTAGATGTTATTATTTATTGGCTAATAACTTATCGTTTTTAGTGAAGATATCATGTTAAGTGTTAATTATCAGTGTGAGAGCCCCAACATGGAATGCAATGCAAGATTATTATCTATAGCCTGTTCTTGTTCTTTACTAAATCAATTCTTGACAAGCATATAATTCTATAAGTATGCACATGTTACTTGACTATTTAAATCCGTCTCCGGTCGGGTTTCGCTCCATATCCGTACCAGTTCCGACTCCGCTCCGCATCGAATCTGACAAAGAAAAAACGGATTAGGATATGGTGGAGGCATTATCCGCACCGATCCGATCCGTTTTCATCCCTACCCTCTCCCCCAAACCAGCCAAACAAATCACAATACCAACGGAAGAGATTCTCTTACAGGGCAACCGCAGCCTCCTGGTGGAGAGGAGGGTATGCCCCGGAAGCTGTAATAGCTCACGGCCACGGCGAGGAGCGCCACAATGAGAGCACCGGCCGCCGCGTACCACCACCTACAGCCCCGCTGGTTCATGCCTCCGCCCACTCCAGCCGCGGTGCCGTTCGCCGCCGGAGCAGGGTCCATAGTCATCACCGCGCGTTCGCACCAGCGCGGAAGCTTCCAGTCTTCCGGAAGATCTCAGAGGACTCGAAGGGGCAAATATGGCGATCGTCGAGTGTGGAGTCGTGCTGCCGGACAGGGGGCCTTGGTAAAAGGGACGGCCCTGCCCAGCCCTCGTTCAATAAAGGCACGGCAAATCTAAATGTCGGGGTGGAGGATGACGCTCGGTCGCTCGGAGCACCGAGCAGCGGTGCGCCGACGTGGTGAGTTTTGTTCTGTGGGATCCCGCCCTTCCGGTGATGGTTTTTTTTGGCTGTGACGATGGGATCCAACCATCCAGGCGTCTGCCATCTAGCACTAGCTGGTTGTCATAACACGTGTATCGCACAGTACTCCTGCTTTCCCAAAAAGAAGTAATCCTATGGTCAAAAAAAATATAATCGTAGAGTTAGAGATCACCTTTTTCAATGGGACACACCAATTAAAAATATCCTTACATGACTAAAAATTACCATCCATGGAAAGAACATTCCAGAAGACAACAATTTCTAAAATGACAGAGGAGGGGCAAATGCGTAATTTTACACACACTAATCTTACCTCGAAAAGTGAGATTTGCATCCTTTCTGGGACGGAGGGAGTACTTCTCTCCCGTAGAATTTGAATTATTTCCCCTAAAAAAAGAATTTGAATTATTTGCCTTGTATGTTTAGGACGTCCCTAAGAATCACAGTATATTTGCCTTTACGTACCTTTAGACTTAGGTAGCGTTTGTAATTTTAGAACTTCATCCGTTCACAGTGCAATCTGCATACATTAAGATGATGTTTGGTTCGGCTATTTTAGGCCGTCCTCGATTCACAGCGTCAACGGGTAGTGATGCTTCGTGTTTGGTTTGCTCTGTTCGTAACCGATCACCGACTAAGGTCCCCATCGGTTAGGGAAATCCTGCCACGGAATCATTCTTGCTAACAAAATCTTATATAAAATTGAATAGCAATCCAGGACCAGAATTGTTCCTGGGAGTTTTTCTTGCTAAGGCCTCGTTCGTTTTGGCCAGAATGGCTTGTTCCGCTGCCCAATCCGCGTGGATTACCACCGGCCTGTTTCGAAGCTAGGCCTACCTCGAAGTGCTGTTTGGTTTGGTCTGGCCCGGAAAGAAAACTAGCCAGGTTTGGCCATTCCGCCCCCTCCACAGCCCAGAACAAAGCCCGACCTCCTACCCTCCGGATCGGAGTCGAAGCCTGAGGCGGCGCGAGCTAGACGCGAGAAACAGAGGAGCGAGGCGACCACGAGCACCCGCAGGCCGCAGTGGAGGCGACGGCGGGCGCGATGCGAGATGACAGCGACGGCGACGCGACCGACTCCAACCCTACGTCCTTCCCCTTCCTCGTCCTTCTCGCTGGTGATCCCTCGCTCTCTCCTTCGTCCTCGTCTTCTCTCCCTCCTCTAGGGTTCTTGGATCTTGGATGACAAGCACGATGGTCTAGTTCTAGTTGATATTCGCAGTGTGGGTATGCGGGATGTGGATTAGATTTTGCGCTAGTGAGTTCTCCTCTTCCTTCTCGTTTTTTTCTCCCTGGTGTTGCCTCTAGGGTTCATAGTTCTTAAAGTCAGGATACAACTACTGCATCTCCGCTCGTAGCTCACGCTCGCCGTTCGCGGATGCCGAGAGCTTGCCATTTGGGGCAAGGCCCCGCCGGTCACAGCGGAACTTGGACTCAGCAGCGACACCTCTCAATCTGTTGATTGACTATATTAATTGTTTTAGCCATGATGTATTATCATTCCATGTTTTGTAATTTGCATACATACAGGCATGCAGTAGATCGATGTGCCGCGCTAAAGGGCAGATCGATAGGCAGCGCAGCGACAGTGCTAGGAGTATGAGTGTATGTGTGCGAATACATATAGATTTGTACTTTTTATAGAAAAAGATATGATCATCTCGTGAGTCCTTGGTTTGTTTATTTTAGATTATATTGAGATCAATCTGCTGTATCATGCCATGACTTGCACGTCTTGTGCATTGCCTTACACGAGAGCCTATAAATTGATTGATACTAGAACGCCTTCTCAGATTCTTTCAGTTCGACGAGCAGTAATTAGACCAGCAATCGTGCATGCATGCACTTAATTTGATGGCCGGCATTTAGGTAACCTTTCCACATAGTTAGTAGTATGCAGTGCAGTGCAGTGAGGCTGAAATCTTGTCGATCTAGTTAGCTCTGTAGGTTTAACTTGTTGACTTGATAAAACTTTTGTCCCCTGTGCCAATACATTTCCCTGTGCCAGCAAAGAAATTTCAGTGTCAATTGGGTGGCTATAAAATTGTTCCTGTATGCAGTAGTGTCCTTGTCTCAGGTTTTCAACGATCTTACTAGAATTACTCAGATATAATGGTGGGTTTAGTTACTGAAGCTGTATTCATGTGATATTATCTAGATGATGTCTTGATTTGCCAAATGGTTTCTTGTTACTTGTAGATCTCTCTAGCACCATTTAGAGTTGGGGGAAGGTGAACCTCTACCTTCTTGGGATCCTATACCAACTCAGAAGGTACACCAAAAGCTTTTATATGACTATAAGTTTATATGCTTCTGTATGACTATAATCTTTATTACATCTTTTATATGACATGTTTAATAATATTTAGCTTCTATATGACATGATTAATAATATTTAGCTTCTATATGACTATAAAATTATATGCTTTAGTTCTACAATGCATCTCTCACTACGAGATCGTATTAGAAAGAGGAGGGAGGAAGAAGACGATGACATGATGCTATTTATTTTCCCCACCTTATATCTTATGAGTTCTACTAGAGGGGGGAAAAGAAGAAACGTCATACATCGGAAGAAATTGGCGAGGTTAAAGTTCGTCGACTCCTCGAGGGACATGTCAGGAATGCATTTAGGATGGAACCACACATCTTTAGAGAATTGGCAACTTATCTTAGAAGGAAAAGGCTTGTTGTTGATACTAGGATCACGGTGGAGAAGTTGGGATTCTTCCTATACATGTTAAGTCACAACGCCTCGTATGAGGATCTCCAAGTGTTCTTTGGGCACAGTAACAACACCTTCCATCATCACATCAACCACTTCTTCAAGGTGGTCATGCCTTCGATGGAGGGGAGTGCGTTCGTGGCTCGTTGCCTGTCTTCTTGGACTGTCCGCGAACCGAAGGAAAGGTGAAGGAGAAGAGGGTTTTGTAGATTTCGGTCAGGATGGAATTGAACTTGGTCAGGGATACTATTCGTTAGCGGTAGGAGATTGATTAGGACATTAGGCTTCCTCCGATTTGAACAGGAAGGCACTGAAGCTGAAAGCGATTAGAGTTATGTTCAGGTCTCAGGATCATCCTATAGCTCCCGCCACAACTTTAAGGCCCCGTTTGCCATAATTTCTCACTGGCTTCAGAAATAGCTGACTCTAGTAGCTCGAGGATGCACCAATCGGATGTGGTCGCACGCCTTCTGGGACATCGACGAATGGTTTAGTGGGCCTTAAAAGGCCCGTTTCGGGAGAAGGTCTATGGGCCTGGTGCACGAGCCGAGGTATTAAGAGTGTGTTTGGTTCAAGAAATGTGTGGATCCATCGTCTACTCATTTTCTCACTTTTTTTGGTTTATAAAATGAAATAAGTTGATGCATCATCATCTCATTCCTCACAAGCTAATAATTAGTACTAGTACAAGGAATGAACTCATGATGCACCACCTCATCTAGGATTGAGTGGCTCCTCAAACCAAACACCCCATAAGTCCTCACCCAGGCCACCCACACCTGAGGGCTCAAGCAGTTACAGGTAGCTCTTGACCTTGGGAAACAATAGCCGAGCAAGGGCCCAACGTAAAACCCCGGTCTTGCTCGGGCTAGGCTCTCGCTCCTGACCAACACTGAGAATATACTCTAGAATCTTTCAGGCGTCTAGACCCTGACACGCGGCCAGAGCAACAGGGCGCCAGACCCTGCCAGAGCTCCATTTTCTCAATTCGCGAGGTCATGTCGGTCACTCCCAGCGCACGATCATGCTCAAGCCATGATGCAACATGACAAAGGTCACCGCGTGCTCGTTACATGTATGGCTCTGAGCCAGCATGCCAGTCGCCCTCTGTGTGGGAGCAAGATTGAGAAAGCAACTTTGGTTTGGCTCAAAAATGCAATGGTCTAATAGGTCGGTCTACTTAATTGCTGAAAACTTGATGTTTTCCTTCTATTTGACTACAAGAGTCCTTTAGTCACTGCAAAACTTTGAGTTCTCTAGGCCTCATCAGTCACATAACCTTAGGTATGTCAGTTAGCATATATTTGTTGATATGGACACAAGTTTGTCACTAGTACGTTTTTGGTAGTGGTACTGCAAGTGCCAATGCCCTATGGGACGTGATGTGTGTTCTGGACTTCCGCTGCGCTAAAAATGTTTGATAAAATGCTACCACAGAGAGATGTGCATGTTTAATTTCAAGTTCATGCCAAATGGATGCAATGCTTGTGCTGCTGCTGTACTGTTCAGTTCAGACGTTCAGGTCTCTCTGCTTGCTATTTAGAAGATAGGTCTATTACTTACAGTAGGCAAGTTTAATAGTAATGAATTCTATATATGCTTGTCAGATGCCTGAGGTAGCGAATTCTATATATGCTCGTTCATTCACATTGGAAGCCTAATTTTATGTATGGGTACTTTTCTTAGAGGTCTGTGTTTTGACTTGCTCTTTTTTGTGAAGATATTGCATGCGGGTCATACGGACTGTTGGTTGCCATGTTCTTAGGAGTGGGCCATGCACCATTGTGAGATGAGAAACTGTTTGTTAATAGTACTGTTAGTTATCAGGCATGGAATTGTAAGTGATAGTTCAAACAATTTTACTAGTGAGAGTAACCATAGAGTATGTGGCGACTAACGTGTCATAATTTGGTCTTTCAAGAGTTCTTCTGGACTTTAATGGATCTGCCAGTGAAGTTACAGTATCATGTCTAGGTAGTGACTAGTGAGCTTTGGTGCTTTTAAACTGACACATTGAT